GTGAAAAGGAAGGGGGGGGGGAGGAGGGATGGAGGGAAAAAGACACTATATCAACATGTATCATATATATAACTAAAAAAAAATTATCAAAATATAACTAAAAAGTCATGAAAAATATTTGAGTTTCAAGAACTTATAAAAAACGTGTTTTTGCAATAAATACTATGAATTGAGTATGAGTTATTTGTTATAACTTTATTAGTTGCAAAAAGTTGCAAAATATTTATGATAAATTGCAGTTAAGATACATTAAGCATCCGATTTACATAATCAAATGTTTGGAGGATATTGGAGGACGGTTTATCTGATACCTAATAGTAAAGGTTAGTAGCAAAAAATCATTCTCAATAAAATTAATTTAAAATCATACTCAATAAAATTAATTTAAAACAATAGTAGCGTAAGAAAGTTGATAATTAAAAAATGCAAAAAAGCGTTTTGAAACACATGTCAAATTCACGTGTATATAACCGCATAAAACAAAGTTTAAATTAATATTTAATGTTTTTTTAACTATATATTTCCTCTAATAAACATATTTTCACCATTATGACATTTTCAGAATACAATGCCCATAGTGATTTTTTTGTATTTTGGCACACTCTGTCCCACTGTGTGCTGGTATAGATTGCTACACTTATTTAAAACATCTTTTAGTATGATTCTCCTGAGAAAGTTGTCAACTATTCCACCAAGTATAATAGCCATAAATGGAACCATAGGTTTGTCTGTTTGAAAGCATCTCAAAAAAGTATTTAACTTTTCAGAAACAAAAAAATCTTAAAAAATTTAAATTTAGCTGGCAAAACCATCGTGAACCATGGGTTTCAGTTTCTGCCAGCTTTTATTTTTTGAATCAGATTGTTCGCTTTTCTTAAGACTTCTGAATTATAAACTTTTTTTATTCATCAAGTTGTGATTCAGCCTTTTGAGCACATTTTTCATTTTCAAACCACCTATGCCAACAAAACGGTACTGAATATAATAAAGTGTCTCAGTGATGTTTTCATAGGTTGTTCTTCTACTAGGAGAGTCATCTAGATATTGCCACATTGATTTTAATAGATTATTTAGCTCCCAGCCACTTGCTTTTGCCCCTGCTTTAAAACTACCATGAATGATATGGAGAATACAGGTTCCAATATCTATAAGAAGATCAAGTTCTTCCTCTTTCCTTTGTTCCTTTAAATTATATAGAAAAAGCAAATTTATATATGGCCCATCTGATGATACTTTTAGAATCTTTGATTTATCTATATCAGAAATACAGTTTAGGAATGTTTGCATAACATCATGTGCTGTCGAGCGCCCCATGAAGTATGATTTAAGATCATATGATTATGACTATGATTTATGATTTAAGACGAGTTTTAACCATACTTCTATTATCATCCCAAAAAGTAACTGAAAGGTCCATTTAACCTTTCTGAAAAACTTGGTTCATGGATTCATCAAATGAAACAGCGTAATAAGGTATATTAGATGGGAAGTTAGCAACTCGTACTTAAAAAAGGGAGATAATCCGAATGTTGCAATATAACTGGCCTTAGTAGGTCTACATTAAAATAACTTAGCAATGTCACTATCTGAAAACATTTTACTAAATGATTTACAAGAATCAGTTAAAGAATTCATTGAATATTTCAGAATACACAATATTAAGGACCCAACGAACTTTAGCTTCAAGTGTAGATGTATTTATTAGCATTTTATCAATTGTTTTTTGGTGTTCTGCTTTATGAGCATTCTGACATATACTCATTAACTTGAACAATGTTAGGAGCAGTTGGCATCAATGACTTGATATTGTTAGCAGAAAGAGATCTCTCTATGTGCTTTTTACTTTTTTTGTGTGAAGTTAAAACAGCTTCTCCCATGTTAGCAATATTAATACTTTTAGCACAATAATCGCAACAGTTTCTGTTTTTTATGTAACCAATGTTTATATTGCTTTTCAACAAGGCATTTTACTTGAAAAATATTTTTAGGCATTTTTTAATTATTCTATCTGAAATCAAAAAAACAACATTAACATTTTAGGAGCCAAAAAGAATTTAAAATCTCTAATATTTCATATTAGCCAAAAAGAATTTAAAATCTCTAATATTTCAATTAGTATTTAATTATTGCATTGTTGTATAGTTTTGAATAATTTTAAAAATTATTCAAAACTATACAACAATGCAATAATTAAATACTAATTGAAATAATATATATTAACAGTCTATATATTTATGATTTATGGAAACCTCTATGATGATATCTTTCAAATAATATTAAACAAATTACTGATGCCTTATTGTAGATGTGTAAGTTTTTTTTAAGAATCTTTAAAGTGCAAACTTCAAAAACAATATAAGAATCAGATTTTCCATAAAAACTACAGATTAAAGCAATTATATTACTATAATCTGATAATATGAATACGCTAATTTAATATTATTATTATTAGTCGAGCTACGTCATTTTCTAGGCTTTTCTATTTTAAAGTAGTTTCTAGGCTTTTCGATACGCGTTTTTTTTTTTAATTTTATTTACTAACAACGCGTATTACGGGTTGCTTACTGCTAGTTTACTATTATTAGTATTGTTGTTGTATTGTTTTTCTTTACTTAAAAACAAACAACAAAATATAAAATATTATCCTATTTTCTAGAACTATTCCAGGAATTTACAGAATAATTTAAAAAATCCAGGACTTCAGGATTTCCAGGACTACTTTCAAATTCCAGGACATTCCAGGACTGGTGGGAACCCTGAAAACGAAATTTTAAAAACAAACAAATGGAATAAAAGAACAAGTAATATATTTAATTTTCAACAGAAGCAATAAAGAACTTTATTTGTCAAATTGTTACAACTTGTTGTCGTAACGTAATTTTTATAAGTTTTTTATAAGTGGGTTTTTATAAGCAAAAATAAATAAATTACATATTATTATCTCATAAATATTCGGAGGTGTTATTTATAGGAAACTGGAAAATAGTTCTGCATAAATTAGTCAACATCTTTGAATATGGTACCATCTATTTTTTATAAATTAATTAACATGCAATTTTACATAAAATATTCAATATGTAAATCAACTTTATTATAGATTTGAAAAAAAAGTTTCTTTTACAAATCTTTTAACTTCTAAATTTTTATAGAAATATAAAAAAAGTAAATGACAAAAAAAAAATAATAAACTGAATGTAGTTATATAATTATTTTTTAAAACTGAAACTTTATCTATTGCTACCCTTTAACTCTGAATCTTGCACCTTTAAATTGTTGCGCTCTAATTTCCCTTCCCTTTAAATGTAATTCATTATGTTATTTATATACATATAAATACCATGGAAGTAAACAACAAAAATAAATTAAGCAAAATGTCAAATATTGACATTTTGCTTAGACTTATTATATTCCACACCTTTTATCTTGTTTAGTTCAAATTTTAAAAACAATATTGTTGGAGTAAACCTTACACTATATTAGACTTCAAAGTAATAAACAATGCTGTTTAACTAAAAAGCAAAAAAAAAAGAACAAATCTATTTTGCTAGTTTCTCTAATAGCTTTGATACCTTGACATCGGTATAAGTTTATGTTTTAGTTTATATTTATATTTGACAAGGAACTAATTTTTATTGTACCAATAAAAAATAGTTTAAAAATAGTTTTTACTAGTATTGGTACAAGCTTTTTTACAAAGAGATTTCTTTTTCAAAATAGGTACTTTACTTCACTCATTTTGTAGCTGTCTTAATCAATATAAAATCCATTTAGTTATAATGGAAAAATTTCTACATCGTCTGGACCATTTAATCGAAACTAATTTGACTGAAGAAAACTAGACATACCATTTAGGATTAATAATAAGGTAACATTTCTTAATATTATATAAAAAATTTTCTTTATACTTTTCACAAGTAATATCTTCAATTTTAATACTTCACTGAGAAGCTTGTGTTCTACAACTATCAAAGTTTCTTAATAGCTTTTTTAACAATAAAGGATTTCTTTCTATGATTTGTAACTGTACCAAAATTAGATGCAGCAAGTCTTTATTTTGTTCTTCAAACCATTTTTGTTTTTAGATTGATCTTTGGTTTTTGATTTAATTTGAATTATTTTTTTTTAACATTGTTTGGCAAGTGATTTGTTACAAAGCTATAGTTTTCTTCAGTCAAATTAGTTTCGATTAAATGGTCCAGACGATGTAGAAATTTTTTTATTATAACTAAGTTTAAATTGTACACATTTTTTTCATTTCTAGTTAGGAATAACAGGGTGGGTGGGAATTTTTGTTCAGATCTAATAAATGGTGAGGTGGATTTTTGATTTATTTTCAGTGATTTTAATTTTGGGGTTATCCATAAATTACAACACGCTCTAGGGGGAAGGATTTGTAGTTTTGTAACAACTCGTTTGGGATTTGTTACTAAAGAGTTACAAAGTTTTTTTGGTTGTTATCAAAAGTTTTTGTATTTTTATTTAAGTTAAGATAAAAAAAATATAGATTAATTTTTGTAACAGATTAACTTGTTTTGTTACTAAATTGATATAGTTTTTATCCAGGTAAGGTAAAAACTATATCTAACTAGTAACAAAACAAAATGTTGGGTTATTTTTACAATTTGCATGTTTTCCTGAAATCCCATATCAATTTTCAAAAAAAAAAATTTCCAATGTTTTTCAAGAGATTATAATAAATAAAATCTATATATCACTGATATATAGGTGCCTAAGCACAAAACCAGCCTATACAACGAATATGTTGAAATTAGGTAATTTTAAAAAAAAGTTTATAAGTTTTCAACAAATGTAGCTACATCAAACAAAATAAAAGTAATTGCAGATAAGTGCACTTAAAAATTTTAAGTATAGTATATTGTTGTATGCATAGAAATACTACATAAATTATTTTTTAGTTGAAACTCGTTTTTTAAATTTTTCGATTAGGCTGGTTTGTCACTTAACCATCCATATAGCTATAATAGCAAATATGTTCATACCTATTTTCTTGAGTTACATTTATTTTCTGATTTTCAACAACCACATCTACTGTTTCCTCACTAAATTATAAATATCGCCAAGATGTATAATGCCAAAATACTAAAAATTGATACTAAGTGATTAATTCAATATTGTGGCTGTGCTATAAAACTTTTATATTAGTATAATTAAAAAAACTTTCTATTAACTATGTCTCTTAGTTATAAGAACTTTTTCTGAAATTAAAATTAAGGGTATCATACATTTTCAACACTTAAATAGATTTTTTGTACTTTGTAATGGTGATGGATTGTAATGGTGGTGAATTGTAATGGTGGTGGATTGTAATGGTGATGGATTGTAATGGTGATGGATTGTAATGGCGGTGGATTTATGTAAATACGCATATGGTTGTAAAATGGAATTAAGTTCAACTCTGTAGTATCCATAATATTTTTAAGTTTCCTGATTACCCTATCTGTATTTCGAGGCTTTTCTCCTTGTATGCTTTAAAGAAGAAAAAAGTTCTTCAATTGGATTAAGCTGTGGCGTGTATGCTGACAGATACTTAAGATCTATGCCATGAGAAAAGCTAGTGTTTGCCCAACAGAAAGACTCCAGTAGAATTTACAAATGTTCATAACAAGCATAGGCGCTTCCGCATCTGCATTTCTAATGGTGCCAACATTGTAGTAATGAAAGTACAAAATGAATCTGCATTCCAGTCTCAAGTTTTCATAAACTTCCTTTGTTGAAACAGCACAAATCAAACTAACATTCTTGTCACGATTTGCAGATGGCTGTAAAAATACTGGCACACCTCTTAGTGAATAACCATATGTGCTGTTGGTGTGCACATTAAATCCAGTTTCATCCAAATAAGTTTTTCATTTGAAATTCTGTTCGTTTGTAAATGCATAGTGTGCACCAATAACTCGTGTCCATTCTTCTAGCACATGCTTGTGGCAGAATAATAAAACTCGTGTCCATTCTTCTGGCACATGCTTGTGGCAGAATAATGAAAGACAACACAAATGAAAGAATGAAACTCACATGCTTGTAGCACAAGCTTTGTTGATAAATCCAAGCATTTGAGTTTTCTTGAAATAGTAGGCTGAGACATGTTGAAGCCTGCTGCAGAAAGATTTTAACTGTGCGCTTAGATAAATTAGGAGAAGTGGAAATGCTTGTTGTAGATTCATTTCTTTCAACTAAATGCTTAAACATTTCAATGTGCTCTTTTGTAACATTTTTCCTTGTTTTTCAATTGACACTGCTATTTTCTCTTCCATCCATAGAGTAAATATTTGTGTATTAATAATAATTACTAATAATTAAATTTAAATCAAGATAAATGAATAATTAGATAAATGATAAATTAATCAATCAATAAATTTAATAATAAAACTAAACAAAGACCAAATACTAAATTAAGTAAGAAAAAGCGGGTAGTTTGTACATTTGATAAACCATCATTGAATGAAAAATTTTTTTGTCTTAAGCATTTTTAACCTCATTTACCAGGAAACAAGAACAATTTGTTTTGAAAAAACTGTGCTATTTTAAAACGCATACAAAAATAAATAAATACGCATATAAGAATGAATAACCCCGTAACTTTAACTAAGGTAAACTATCAAGTTAGAACAATCTAACCCTTGTTTATACCTATTCAGACCAACCGTAACCTTAAATCTGACCCTAATTATAACCCTTGTCACCCTAAACCCTGCCCTCACTTGATCTATTTTTTATTTATTTATGGAAGAATGTACAGTTTCAAAGGTAATTAAGACAAGCACAAAAAAAAACAAACAAATAATTTTAATTTAACTGAAGCCACTTAACTTAAGGATTATGCAAGAAAAACAAAGTGCATTTATTTGTGTGTAAAACTTTGGATTATCTTTATTACCGATCACTATCTGGAAAGATTTAATCTAGACAGGAAAGAAAAAACTCATAAAAAAATTCCTTTACTGAAACCTGTTATCATGATGCTGAAAAATATTTCTTTTTAAACACCATAAAAAGATAAAAGTTATACTAAACAACTAAATATTTGTGTGTGTACAAATACCTTAACATAAATAACTTTGCATAAAGCACCACTAACAATATTATACTAAAATAACCGGGTTGAAACATAAAGATCCAACATCAAAAGCTCAAAATACTATCTAAAAATCTAATATACTTTCTTTTTGACTTAAGAACTAAATTAGGTTTGTTTTTAACATATATAAATATGTATAATTTAAATTTTTAAAAAAGACTATAAAAAGATGTATTGAATTTACACAATAAGAAAAAATTGGCATATTAACTAAATAGTGTGATAGTATTGAAACAAATCATAATTTATTTTCTAAATATTATAATTAATTATCTAAAGTTTTACTAAATCTTTTTAGAAAAAATAAATTTTGGTTACCATTTCAGCTTTTTAAGAACTTTATCTCTTATCTTTTAATTTTACTTCATATTAAGCCATATGCAGAAGAATACTTTCAATAGAGCATAAATTTAATGGGCAACTTAACCAATATGTAACAAACCTTAAAAAATTTAGTAAAAAATACTTTCACTATATTTTGTTTAATTATTCTCCACCAGTCTCTAGCTGATGTGAATTTTATAATAGTTTCCGTGAATAAATATAAAGAAATTAAATATAATTTTTTCAATAGATATCTTAAATACCCAGACATATTCCGGATAATATTTACAAAACCATTCCTCCAGGGTTGATAGGTTTAAACCATGGTTTAGACCAATCGAAAAAATATCAATTTAAACCAAACTAATTTTTTGTTAAGAATATTAAAACTAATTTAATAAAAAAATAAAAGAGTTGCTCTAGATAAGTTGCAAAGAGATCAAACAAAAATAAGTGACACTGTTGAAATTTTTAAAGAGCTGATAAACATGTTATCATTTTTATCGACTGAAAAAAAATATATGTATAAATTAAAAACTAGATATCAGACTGTTACTCAATTCCTTGCAAACATGCTAGATCCTAGATATTTTGGATCTAACTTTTCTGAAAATGAAAATGAAGCTGCAATGATCATTAGAGGTGAAGAAATTAAAAACTTGTTACCAATAACATTTAAGTTGAAAGCCATATCTGCTCCATTCGATAAAAGCTATTTGTATAGTAAATCTGTTTTTAAAAATGTATCACCAATAGAATGATGGAAATCTCTGAAATCTTTGGACTGCGACATTATTATTGAAGGTTTGTTAAACACACCAGCTTTTAGTGGTGGAGTTTTTTTGAATTTTTTTGACTTTTGGACTTGTTTATTTCAAGTTAAGAAACAAGATGGGAGTAGAAAAAGTAGTAAAGCTTATTTTATATACAGAACATTAAATAATGATGTATCGGTTGATGAATTACAGCAGTAATGTTAATATAAAATATAATTTACTCAAGTAAAATGACTAATGCATTTTTTTAATTGAAAAGTTGACTAAACATGGGTTTAAACCAAAAAAACCCATGGTTTTTGATTTTTTTGCAACCCTGCATTCCTCTGCTAGCTCTTCATGTTATTTGATATGTTTTTTACCTTTAGGGAAACAAAAGGTTAAAATTACAACTAGCGTTTTAAAAACAGTTTCTTTAGATTGCTTAAAAAGTCACAATAATAAAATGTCATACAATAACATTTTTACCTTTTTACTTAGGATCAACTAGATTAATAAAAAAATGAAAAAGATTTCATTGTCTTCTCAGACTTGCTACATAATCATTGCATGTAAATAATTTTTCACCTCTAAGTTATTTAATCCATATCTATATAGCATCCGACAATGTTTCATTATCTGCCTGTAGCTGATAAATATCCTATTAAACAGTATATTTCTAGATAAGCAGTAATTTTTGTATTGAATCACAATGTTTACCTTTGTATTTAATGTATACCAAATTGGTTCTGTTTGTGTTTGTAGACATGCCATTTCTTCTGATGAAAATGGCTATCAATTTCATATGCTTACATTTTGTTTCTAAATAAACTTAATAACTTGATACATGTTTTTATACAGTCTAGCTGCAGGTTTTGTCTTGTAAGATTATGTAGCTGAGGTATCAATCCATCTTGTAAAATTAGGTAATTGAGGAAGCAATTCTTTTTGTTACTTTTATCATCCCTACGGAATTTTAAAAAAATAAAGTGTATATTTTTATACAATAATAATTGACTTAAGAAATTATCTTATAGCATATTTAATACTTAACGAGGGGGTTGGTGACGTTTTCATAATATATTAAAAAATTATTAAAACAATATATTAAGAAATTAATACATACATCTTAATTGTAGTTTGATGTAGTTTGTAAAGATTATAAATTTGTAATTGTAGATAATAATTTTGATATATTTAAAACTTTAACTAGTTGTGCACCATAATCAGCTGTTATTTTGTAATTCCCTGCATCCATTGCAGAAATAAAATATGGTGTTTTTCCATTGTGGGTGTTGTGAGCAAATATAGAATCATAACTTACAGAACACCACCAAAAAAATTTCTGGCATATTTACTTATTATTCATTTTGGTGTCACCCCTGTGTCACGTCATGATGTGTCACCCAGTACAGCCCAAACCCCCCCTAGCGATGCCACTGATCAGTGTTGTATTTAAAAATAAAGAAATTTAGAATTCTGTTAGATTTTAGAAATGATCTAATATTAATTAAGATTGCTTATATTGCCCTGGTTGACAATTGACTTTAGCAATGTTAGATGGCAGCTCAGCATTTAATCTCTTGTTATGGCTACATTTTTCTAAATGATGTTCACTTCCTCAATTTTTAAATGATAATTTGGTTGCAGTGCATGCAGTTTTCTTTGTTTTTTTGTTCACTAAAACTGCCTTGAAACTAAGGCATAATTTAAAATTATATGTCTATTTATTTACATATTTAAAAATATATCTTTGTATGTGTGTGGTGTGCATGTAAAATTGTTATCCATATATATCTAGACACACATGCAGCATTAGATACACACTGATGACATCATAATTAAATATGCAGCTGTGGAGGCTTCAGTACATACACTGACTGACTAAATAGGTAGAACATGCAAGGAGTGCCGCTACATCAACTAAGGGTTAGGATTGGGGCAGCAATCAATTTTTTTCATTAATCTCCGCTTTTTCTTCTTTTCTGAAAAATTAAAAAACACAAAATATATTAGAAAATTGTGTCCTTAGAAACATATTATCTGTTTAATTAAATACATCATATATTTTTAATTTTCTTGTTTTTTTTTAATAAATATCATTAATATTAACGATTTTGTATTTTTATAAAAATGATCAAATGTCTAAATCTAATCTAAATAAACAAAATAAATAAAAATTATTATAATTAATTATTATAATTTCTATAATTTAAGAACTAACAAACTTGTCAACTTCTTAAGTTCGATATCTTTCAACAAAAATTAATTTGTTTAAATAGTGCTTTTGACAAATTGAGAAAAACTATTTAAACAAAAATTTAAACACTATTTAAATTTAAACACTATTTAAATTAAATAAATAAAACACTATTTTAATTATATTTTAATTAATTAAATTAAATAAATAAAACACTATTTAAATTAAATAAATAGAAAAAAATTTAAACACTATTTAAACAAAAATTAATTTGTTTAAGTAGTGCTTTTGACAAATAGAGAAAAAAAAAAGATCAAAAAACAATTTACCTTATAAATATTTGGCTCAAGTATTTCCAACCATTAGAAATGAATATAAAAATACACCAAAATATCAAGACCACCAAAATTATCCTAAGAATAATATTATTTATTCCTACCGGGATTTTGCTACCAGGATTTTGCAACCAGCATTTTTAGTTTTCTATGTAACTTTCAGATTTTTTCCAAACTTTTGTAATTTAAGTGTTGGAAGACATACTTATTACAAGTAATTTTTTTTTTTAAAACATAATTATCTCCATGGGAACCACTATTATAAAGTTGGGTACTTATTTTTTTAAATTTATTTAATAATAATCATAAAAATGTATATAAATTATGCCGTCATTTTTATAAAATATACCTGAACATAACAGAAAAACCAATATAAAATAAGAGAAAAACCAATATAAAATTTTAGCTAAGTAACAAACTACCAACTAATAAATGTGACATCAACAGTTTTAAAAACTATTTGTATAAATTTATAAAAATAGTTTTTAAAACTGTTAATGTCACATTTATTAGTTGGTAGTTTGTTACTTAGCTAAAATTGTTTTCAAGCAATTGTCAAAAATTTGAGAAAAGGTTTGAATATGATTTCTTTTCTGTAAAAGTTTTTCTATTAACTTTTTGTCATGATATTTGTTAATTTTTTTTTATTACCATTGTTAATTTCCATACCCAACAAAAAGTTCAAACGGATGCAAAATAAGTGAAAATGCTGAAATCAGGATTTAAATATGGGGGGAAAAATCAAAATTTTTGTTATAAAAAAGAATCTACTGCTAAACTAACATTTATTTAACAGCAGTATTAAAATATAATAAGTTTAGATTTTTTTAGCCCCTGAAAGTTACATTAAATACTAAAAAGCTCTGGCTCTGATCCTAATTATTACATTACTTTATGTCCAATATAATTTTTACAAAAGAATAATTAGTTTTATTTGCATAGTTTTGTTACCATTTCATTATTATTATCATTTTTATTAACATCTTTTAATATAAATTTTAATATGTCAGTACTAGTTTACAAAAAAATAGTAGTATTTTTTGTTATAAAATGCATTTTTAAAATATTAAAATTAGAAAATAAAAAAATCACCGAAGTTTTTCTTTTATTAATAATTTCATAGTTTAATGAAGAATCTACATCTTATCAAAATAAGATTACACATCTTATCAAAGTTTAATTTCCATCAAAATCAACACAGTTTTTCTCTGTAGGCAATCTTAGTTTATTTACATTTTAACGCCATATGTTAGTATTCATTATCCGATGATGAATACCAATATTGAAATATCTGTTAAGGATAATTTATCGTTAACAAATGATTCGAAGTTGGAACCAAAAAATGCCAAGTTTTTACAATTGTTCAATTTTGTCAATATGGATTTATATACAATAACTTACTTATACAAACTGCAAATTTTTTTTTAATTAATTCGTCAATATTTATTGTTGATAACATTGAATTATCCATGATAAATATAATAGACCGAATGAGTCGTGCGTCATATCATGGTTCGCAAGATTTTATCATGCTATGACGCATAAATTTACAATAGGGGTCGTCCATAAATTACGTCACGCTATAAGGGGGGAGGGAGGCTTGCTGGTTTTGTGACGACTCATTCAAAACTCGCTTCTTAAGTGTTAGGATTTTGTGACGAGGGGGGGGGGGATCTTGACGCAAACCAACATGGTTTTACACCTGGTAAGTCTTGATTAACCAATTTATTGGAATCATTTGATTTAATTACCCACGCTATAGAATGAGATTATGACGTAGTTGTAGTTTTGCTTGACTTTGCCAAAGCGTTTGATAAAGTTAAACACTCGTTATTTCTTAAAAAAGTTCGTGCGCATGGTTTTGACGAATATATCTGCCAGTGGATAAATGCACTCCTATCCAATCGAAAACAACGAGTTATTATAGAAAATTCAGAATCCGACTGGTTAAACGTTCTCAGTGGTGTACCTTAGAGTTCATGTATTGGACCATTACTATTCCTCAATTTTATTAATGATATGCCTCGTCTACTCAATCACCAATGCAAACTTTATGCTGACGACACCAAAATTATTGCAATTATAAAAGACCCCTCTGACCTGCAGCAATTACAAACCTACATCGATAGAGTAATTGACTGGGCTGATACTTGGTCAAATAGTTTTAATCTAGAAAAATGCAATTATATGATTTCTAACAAGTATCGTCGCACAAAACAATTAAACAAAAAAACTTTTGTTGATGATAAATTTAATGATCCCTGCTTCCAACTAACAATGACTAACAAAACTGGCTTTTCTCACATTTCTAAAGAGACCAACTCTGAACGTGATCTTGGTGTTGTTGTTCACAATCGGTTTTTGTGAAACGATCAAGTAGCAAAAGCTATTTTAAATTCATATACTGTTTTTAGATTTCTTAGACGCACTTTTCATGTAAGGCCTAATTTGGAGTATTGCTCAGCAGCATGGGGACCCTTTTCAATTAAAAACAGCTGTTCAAAATAAACTGTTCGAAATTGAGCTACATAACTTTTTCCAAATCTGCGAACCATGAAAGCCAATGAACGCTTCTCAGCTATTGATATCTAATCACTTGAAAATCGAAGGCGCTGAAGTGATCTTATAGAATACTTTAAGATTTACCACGGCATAAGCAAAGTTAAATCGATCAAATCACCATCTCCTGCTCCTGCACTTGTGCAACCTGGACCAGCCAGTGGTCTTCGGGATTTTCCCCATCGCATTCAGGCACCAAGAATTATTAAATGTGTAGCTCGCAAAACTTTTTTATGTAACCGTGTTGATTGGAATGCGTTACCACCAGATACCGTTGCCTTCAATAGAAATGTACCATATATTGTCGATATTAACACTTTCAAAAAAAAGTTTGACAAATTTATTTGCTCACTTCCAAAAAAAACTGTATGATCTGTACTTCTGTTTCTCGCTTGGGAATGTTATTAATTCAATGTGCCGACTATTTTTTTTTTTTTTTTTATCTTTGTTTGGTAATCCTCTATACTGGATCTACCATAGTAGGGATTGGTTACTTTTCCAGCTTCACGGATTTTTCCGTTGTAGATTAAATTTAAATAAAATAAATAAAAAAAACTTTACAATCAAAGCCGTTGCTAGGTTTTATGGCGCCCCAGGCAAAAATTAAGAATATCGCCTCTGCAACACATTCGGTTGCCCATAGATAAAACTCATCGTTTTGAATAATTTTCTGCAATTTCTAAAAAACTATTAAAAACTTGGTATTCCTCTAGACTTCATCTCATTTTCTCATCTCTCGTTGGAAAATCACTTCAATATTAATTTTTTTGAGGATCTCTCAAGCAGCAAGCAAAATTTTCTCAAATTCAATACCACTTCTCATGTTGTTTAAAATATTTTCTGTGTTTTTTGAGCTCTTTTACTGTTATCTCAAGAGTAAAGTTTTTTTCTTGCAGCAGTTTTTTTGTCAAATTAAACTGCTGCCACAACAAATTTAGATAAACTTATGCTGTTTAGAAGACCTTCAGTTTCAACCTTAGTCAGGGTACCAGAAAAGACTTTTTAAATTTAATTCTTCCATAATTTCAAACACTGTATCGTACACATGTGGTAACTGGTACCTGATGGGAGTTAAGGTATTAATTCTGCTTGACCAATGAACATCAAACAGTGGTTTAATAGTCAAAGATGATGTATTACGTTTCAGTATATCCAATTGACAAGTAGATGCAGCAAAGAATACAATAATTTTTTGAATAACTTCAACAACAGGTTTTAGTTTCATTGCAACACGAAGCGGCATTGTTAACCATTCGAAACGAGTTCTGGACATATTTTTGCGTCACGGTTAGGAAGGAGACGTGAACTTCATGGTTAAATGCACTTCCGCGGTGCTCTGTGACAAGACCGCTAGGTCTTCTTGGGGCACCTAAATAACAAAATAAAAATTAAAAAAATAAAAATAGATAAAAAAACCACGAGGTTAAAGGTGTGTGGACTGCAAGGGACACAGAAAGTACAGAAATTAAAATTCAGGATTTTTATTTTAAAAACCTATTTTCTTTTTTTTCATTACGAAAAGTGGCTCACAGCTTCACCCTTGGTCTCTGTTAATGTTACAAACCCTAAAAAGTGTTCTTTTACGTGTAATTTGCTAATGTTGCGGAATTTTTCATTTTCAAATTAAAATGATGCAGTTTTTGAAGATTGAACACAAATCTTATTATCATTGTCATTTGTTCTATGCGGTTTGATAGTTAATGATAGAAAAATACTATACCTTTTTAACTAATGAAATAGTTTTGTCTTTCATACCATTTTATAGCACTTTAATAAGTTTATTTTGAATAATGTTACCCAAATAATGACTGGCAACACGGGTTTCGAGGGGGGGGGGGGGACACAATTGTCAATTTCTAAAAACATCCTCTGTATCCTGTTTTGAATGTTTTTAATTTTTCAAAGCAACATAAATGGTTATATCTCATGATTATATAATATTTATCTCAGCTATCACCACTTCTGAAGCTCTATAACAAATTTGGGTGTTGTTTCTGTTGTATTAACAGCAAAGAGTCTCCAGCAAAAGCAGCATGGCTTCTCACTGAAGAGCTAGTAAACCATCTATGACAGCAGTATTTTCTCATTGTTTGACAATGTCATGTAGATTGATCATGTAGACCATTTTTTTAACAACTGTTGCACATCTCTTTTTTCTTTTTCACTTTGCCTTGTTACAACACTAACAAACAACAAAAATAACACTAAAAAAGGATCATCCTTATTCTGAAAAAAAATAGCTTTCTATTTTGATAATTTCAACCCGAAAATGATCTGGAATTGGTGGAGACAGTGTTTTAAAAAAAAAGCACCAGATAATATTCTAAATTTTTTCACTTACTTGCCTCGTCATTAAATTTACGTTATTACAGAAAGAATCAAACTTCTGTTTCAATTTTATCCAATACTATTTGATGTATTTCTTAGATCAATCTCGTCAACTTCCGGCTCTATTTGCTTTATTGAATAATGTATATTGCAAGCTTTGGTGGAAAATCAATTGTAGATTGTGAAACAACGAAATTTTATAAGCCTTGATGTCATCACTTGGCCTTTTGAGTTATTGATGCATGAATCCATGTAGTGATTTTAATGATTCGCTAATTTTTTTTCTCTCTTATGAGATGATGAATATTCTCAATAATAAATTATAAATCATTAGCATAACTCATTAATCATAATAATAATCATAGAATATTTCTTTCCTTTCAATTTGATAATTCGATTTAAGCTAATATATGATAAATATGTTTATTCCAATATCATATATAAAATATATAATATTGGAATAAACATAGTCAAAAAGCCATAATAAATATTAGCCTCAAAATAATGCTAAAAAGGTGTACAGAAATATGATATCCCAGGAAAAAAAATTCTATAGAATTTCTATAAACTTTTGAAACATATGGCTTAAGAAAATTCTATAGAACTCAATAGATTTTTTTTAGAATCTCTGGTAATTTCTATAGGGGGCCATCCATAAAGTACGTACGCAGTAAAACCACTGATTTAGGACCCCCCTCCCCCTTGTACGCACTTGTATGCTTTCAACGACTTCCCCCCCTTCTGCGTACGTACGCATTTTTTATTACAAGTTCAGGCTCTCCTCCCCTTCTTTCCCCAACGCATTAATTTTTCAAAACATTAAACACAAAAAGATATTTTGTTAATTTCTCTGTGCTTAATTAAAAACCGGAAAATTATTTGTTAATAACTTTCCAGTTTTTGTTAAAGAAAGAAAAATATTCTAAAAAAGAATTCTTGTTGCGAGTATTTATATTTCATATTACCTCAAATGGTGACTTAAATAAAAAAATTAAAAAAAATTACATATATTATATTATGATTTTTTAACGTGAAATTCAATGTTTTTATAAAAAAACATTAAAACACGTGAAATTCAATGTTTTTATAAAGAAGTTTAGGAGAGATAGTTAAACCGCGTACGTACTCGCTGTCGTTAACACCCTCCCCCCCCCCCCCCTCCCCTGTACGCATTCGTACGTTTCAGGAGAACCCCCCCCCCCTCCCCCATACATGCGTACGTACTTTATGGATGGCCCCTAGTAATTCTTATAAAACTTTTTTTTCTACTTTTTTTTTTATAGAAAAAAAGTTTTATAGCAATTTCTATAAAAATCAATAGACATTCTATAGAAATTCTATAGAAATTCTATAGAATTACTATAGAATTTCTATTATTGTTATAATTTATTATTGAGAATATTCATCATGTCATAAGAGAAAAAAAAATAGAGAATCATTAAAATCACTTTTTTTAACACTGTCTCCACCAATTCCAGATCATT